CACTATTTTCATCCTTGCATCTACTTTTTCAATAAAGGAAACCTGCGAGTAATCTGTTGTTCTACATCTGAGTTCTTGAATACCTTGATATTCATCAAGTAGCCTTTCCTTCAATTCCTCAATCCTAATGCTTTGGGCCCAGTTCCTTGTCATAACACAGAACTCTAATGAGAGTAAATTCTATCCTGAACTCATTCTGATTTGGAACCCTGAAATTTTTCCTAGATTGTGTCTGCTTTTCCTTTCATGAACTAGGGTTCTATTTCATCTATTTCTAGATGGCCCTCCTCTGGAACCCAGACATTGCTACATCTCTATTGCCAGATATACCTTCTGCCATGTCCCCTCCACAGTAAAAATCCCTGGTAACTGATGTTAATTCAAAACAGAATATATTAATCCACTCTGCTTTCCTTGGTAGAATGGGGCACCTTTATCCAGAATGTTTTATACACCCGAAACTACCAGGCATTATATAACGGTATGTCCTCAACTGGAAGAACACGTGGGTCTGAGAACTAAGGTATGGAAGCAGGAGTGGCTCTATTTATCATATTTTGTAACCCACACAAGGAACTTATATTTTCCACACTTACAATTTTAAAATCTGTGGTCCTGGGAAGCCTGGATCATATAGAGAGAACATTTCACCGTGGGACGTTGTAAGGGTCCCATTTACGCTCTCGGTGCTGCCCCATCACTTCAGGCTCTTCATGCTAAGAGACCAGTTAGCAAGCAAAGGAATCATCTTTTCTAAAGGGGGCAATTGAGCACATCCATCAGGAAAAGGTAGGGCTTCTGAATCTAAGAAGAGAAAAACATATTTGATATCCAAGTATTGGAATATCTCTTGATATCTCTCTGCCCAACCATGATAGTAAAGGGACATGAGCTACGCTCTGAGAAGGGCATGGTGACAAGCTCACTACTCTCAGGAATGGTGATCTATGTCCCTTACCAAGTTAAGCACCTAGACCACCAGATGTGTGAACTAAGGGTGAGGGAATCTAGAATGGGTGGTTGAAGAGGGAGACAATGAGTATTAGTAGTGGTCTTGCAACCAGCTGCAGCTGCAGGGGCTGTAGTTTGCCCCACTAACCTTCATAAGTATTCTGACTTGCACAGCAGTGAACTAGACTTCAAACATGAGAATATACCAAAGGAGAAATTATAGAGCTGAGAAATAGGAGATAGTTGTTACAATAAAACTGGGAAATATGTTCTTTAAAAAAAAAAAACAATTTATTTAAACTAAAAAAGAAAATAGTTCACACATTGCTCCCACTCCCTACCCCCCACCTCTGGCAATCACCAATATATTCTCTGTATCTATGAGCTTGGTTTTTTTGTTTAGTTTTATTTTGTCATTTTGTTTTTTAAGATTCCACATATAAAAGAGATCATATGGTATTTTTCTTTCCCTGTCTGACTCGACTTATTTCACTTAGCATAATGTCCTTGAGGTCCATCCATGTTGTCACAGATGGCAAGATTTCATTCTTTTTTATGGATCAATAATATTCTATTGCATACATATATACTATAATTTCTTTATCTATTCATCCACCAATGGACACTTAAGTTGTTTCCATATCTTGGCTATTGTAAATAATGCTGCAATGAACATGTGGATGCATATATCTTTTCAAGTTAGTGTTTTCATTTTCTTTGGAAAAATACCCAGAAGTGGAATTTCAGGATCATATCATATTTCTATTTTTAATTTTTTGAGGAACTTCCATACTGTTTTCCACAGTGGGTGCATCACTTTACATTCCCACTAACAGTGCACAAGGGTTCCCTTTTCTCCACATCATCACCAACACTTATTTTTTTGTCTTTTTGTTAATAGCCATTCTAATAGGTGTGAGGTGATATCTCATTGTGGTTTTGATTTTCATTTCCCTGATGATTAATGAGGCTGAGCATCTTTTCATGTTGCCCATCTGTATGTCTTCTTTGGAAAAAATATCTATTCAGGTTCTCTGGCCTTTTGTAAATTGGATTGTTTGTTTTTCTGCTATTGAGTTGTATAAGTTTTTTATATATTTTAGATGTTAGTCCCTTATTAGATATATGATTTGCAAATATTTTCTCCCATTCAGTAGGTTGCCTTTTCATTTTGTTGATAGTTTCCTTTGCAGTGCAGAAGCTTTTTAGCATGATGTAGTCCCATTTATTTATTTTTCCTTTAATTGCTTTTGCTTTTGGTGTCAGATTCAAAAAATCATTGCCAAGGCCCATGTCAAGGAGATTATTTCCTGTTTTCTTCCAGCATTTTTATGGTTTCAGGTCTTATGTTCAAGTGGTTAACTCGTTTTGAGTTAATTTTTGTGTATGGTATAAGATAGTGGTTCAATGTCATTCTTTTGCATGTGGCTGTCCAGTTTTCCCAGCACCATTTATTGAAGAGACTGTCCTTTCCCCATTGTATATTCTTGGCTCCTTTGTCATAAATTAATTGACCATATATGTGTGGATTTATTTATGGTTTCTTGATTCTGTTCCACTGATCTATCTGCTAATACCATACTGTTTTAATTACTATAGCTTTGTAATATAGTTTGAAGTCAAGAAGTGTGATGCCTCCAGCTTTGTTCTTTCTTAAGATTGCTTGGGCTATTTGGGGTTTTTGTGGTTCCATACAAATTTTAAGATTATTCTATTTCTTTGAAAAATGCCATTGGAATTTTGATAGAGATTGCATTGAATCTGAAACTCTCTACTTGTTAGTTTTGAGGTCCACTAGGGAGATTTTCTTAAAATCTAGAACCTGTATCTTATTCAACTGTGCACTCCTGGAATACAGCACATGCCGAACTAAGTTTTGTCAAACTAAATTTAATTATTGGATCCATTAGAGGGAAGATCTCAACAACACTCCTCTAAAAGGCAACCTGCCTTGTTACATTTGGCTGTGAACTAAATTTCAGAATAGCTAGGCCATTCTGATGATGATATTCTGGACTGAGCCCATTTGCCACCACAACCTCCATATCAGTCTAGTGACTCAGGCTCTCAAGATGACTGGCTAAGAACCAACGCCATCTGTTCCAAAGACTCTGACTTCCCACTGTCCATCTTTCCTCTTCCTTCTCCCATTCTACCTACATACTTGTAATCCCCAATACCTGTGCGTGGGGACCAGCCCCAAAGGCTAAACAAAAACAGCTCATCCATGCTTTCCCCCCAGAAGTAGATTTCTATTCCTCGGGCTAGATCGAGGAATGAAACTGCCATCAACAAATAAAACGACCATTTTCTTTCCCAGATAAGAGCAGAGGTTCAAGTAAGAGTGAAAGGTAGAGAAATTAAGAAACTGAAAACTAAGAGATGAGGGTGAAGTGAGAGAGAGAGTAAAAAACTGTTACGAACGCAGACTCCTTCCTTTCCCCATCTGGGTGGATTTCAACTCTGTTGAGGCTCAGTCAGTAGATGTTAAGCCCTAACCACCACTTCCATGGGCCCCCTGTCTTTAAATGTTCTTCCTCACTCTACAGCAGATTGGGGGGAGGCAGTCCAAGCTAAGGTATGCCAGAAGAAACATATGGAGTTTCTCATTTGTAAGCAAGCAATTGCTCTCCCTTTAAAACTGTCTTCCTCAGCACTCTGAACCAAAAATAATGTTGTAAATAAGAACCATTCAGTGTTAAGGGAGGCCCACTCTCGTGTAGCTCCTTACCAAAGTTTTCAGGCAACAGATACATAACTTGTGGTTCTCTTCCTACTTCAATCAAGCATCAGCTATAATTTTTTAAATCTTTAAAGTGATGAATATGTTTATTCAAACTCACCTAGGAAGATTAGGAAGAAAAGAAAAGCACTTGGCCTTTAAATCTTCAGAAGAGGCTTTAATGACAGGTTCAGCCTGTTTAATGACAGGCCCAGCACCACACCCCTGTTTTATTATGTTTCATTATTACCGCATAAATTTCCTTTATTACTCATGATAAATAAAAACCAAATACTTGCTGAGGTGGGTTTAAATAGGTAAGAGTGCAAATAAAAATTTACTCTTCAAATATCATGAAGCTGGGATCTTAGATTCTTAAAATATATCTTTATATTTTTTAAGTGTCTTATGTGTACCAAGGTGCCACTCTCAATCTCAGACTAGTGTTTTTTGGTTTTGTTTTTTGTTTTAGGATTGTATCCATAATTCAAAGATGAAAAGAGTACAAAACATTCAAAACAGCAGCCTCAGGATTTTTCACTGCGACTGATTTTTGGCTGATTCCAATAGGAAGACACACCCAAAAGAAAATCGCTAAGGTTGATGCAAGATGTGAAGCTAGTGAAGTTCAGGTACCGGCCTGGGATGAATTTAACCTGCACGTCAGGTGCAGAGCTGTCACTTTCAGATATCTTAAGGGAGAGATGGGGTTATTTTCAATGCTTTTCCGCAGCCATTCGATTACACAAGGAGAGCCTAACGTCTCAAGAGTGAAACCAGCTGGCCCGGGGCTGAAAGAAAAGAAATCCTCTGCTCCTCCTGCTGGAGGGAGGGGATTAGGAGCTGAGAGCATTGATTCGACGTTTCCAAAAGCTCAGCCAAGGCCTTGCTGGACACCAGGCGAGCAGCGCTGCCGGCTCAGCGCGCCACTGTGTGGCGCATGCGCTCCAGACCTTCTGGGCAGGCTCCCCCCGCCCCCACCCTCGTCGGCTGTGACGTCGTCTGTGGGCCGGGCCTTCCCGCCAGCAGTGGGATGCGCCCGCGCCGGCCGGCCGGGCAGGGGGCGGAGCCTAAGGGGGTGGGGAGACCCGGCCCCACCACCCAGCTGGAAACGGACTCGTTCCCCGCCGGCTCTCCACTCCGCCCGAGCGTAGTGCGGCGGGGAGGACGCTGCGACGCGCCCGCACTCTGCGGTCGGAGCCGCTGCGCGCGAGGCTGCGGCCGCGCGAGGCGCCTTTTCCTGGGCGCGAGCCGGGAAAAGCCCGGCTCACCCCCGGGCCGCTCGGCCGCTGCGCGGGCCCCCAAGCCGCGGAGGGACAGCGAAAGGGGACTGACGCTGAGCTGAGCTCTCCCGGGGAGGGGCGAGCGCGCCTGGGCGAGGTGCGGAGGGAGGGAAGAGCGTCGCGAAGCTCACGGCCGGCGGTGGATCATCCGGGCCAGTTTGCGTCTCGGGGCTGCGAGATGCGCGACGAGGACAAGGGCATGCTCGGTGGTGGCGGCGGCGACGCGGGCCTGGCCAACGCCGCGGCGCGGGGGCAAGTGGAGACCGTGCAGCAGCTCCTGGAAGCCGGTGCAGATCCCAACGGAGTCAACGGCTTCGGGAGGCGCCCGATCCAGGTAGCTGGGGCCCCGGGGCCTCGCCGGCAGGGGGCGCACGAACGCGGGGGCGCGGCCTCCGTAGGACGCGGCTGGGACCTAGATCTGCGCCGACGGAGACCTGTGTCTCCCTTGCTGGAGGTGTGAAGCCCGGGTGTAAAGCAGGTTTTCACCCACCAAAAATTCTAAAGAAAGGGATTGAGAAACTCAATGCTTCAGTTTAGTTTTTAATGGTGGAAAAAAATATCAGTATTCCCTCTCCCGTCTCAGGATCAGAGATGCAAGGGACAGATTCAGTTGGGGAGGAAAAGGGGAAAGGAGGGGTTATTTTGGGAGAACTACTTTGTCTTGTCTGCTTTTCAGCAAACAGCGATCAACTTTCAACGATAGAGATAAGTAAATTACAAATTATACAATCTAGATTGGATTTAAGGAATCATATAAAATCATAGCACATGAAAAAAAATTCACCGTGAACTTTTAAGCTACGATATGAAATTCTTTGTATTCTTTCCTCATAGAGGGGAACTGAATACAAAGGAATGAGACAATTCCTTAACCACAGTACTTAATTCCTTTTATTTTGTGTTGGCAGTGTCTCTTATGTGTTACATAACAAAAAAAATATGTTTCTATAGATTTTTATTATTTAATTATACTGAATGCTCAGATTACAAGAGCATTCCTGAAGCAACTGTTAGATCCTTTTTAAATGGCAAGGGGTCTTCATAAATAATTAGCCTCTTCATTGCTAAAATCCATTTATTCAATTTGTTTAACTATTAATTCCACTTTAATTAGGACTGGTATATTTTTTAATTCCTTTAAAGTCTAAAATAATGTTTTGTGCTTTACTGTTAACTTTGATGATCATATTTATTATTCACCTCACTATCACCTTCCAGAGCCAAGCTATTATTAAGGAATCTTGTTAGTCATGTAGATTTTAAAGAAAATGTGTTCATTCCTTTTGAATTCTTAGAAAGTGTTATAAGAAATGAGGGTTTTAAGCAGCAAAAATATTAAGTAGTTCTTAAAGATTTCAAATTATATTAATAATTGTAAAAAGAGGTTTTATGGTTTTAATTTGGCATTTCTTGAGATATTAAGAACCACTTTTTTCTCCTCATCTCTGTATGTGAAATACCCTTTACATCACTAGTAGAAATGATAACATTTCTTGGTTTTTAAGAGAGGAAATGGATGTTCTTAATAGTCATAAAACAAGAAAAATAGTATACTTTCAATTACATGGTACATTTTAAAACAAACTCACAAGAACAAATAACTCCATTTTGGATAGTTATCAAAAATTGTTTTATTGTTAAAATAAGAAAGTAAATGCTTGCATAATGTACATTTACACAAATGGCTACTATAGGATTCCTGCATTGCTAACTTATGCGTTGCTCTGATTGGATTGCTAACATCCAAGCTCTTTTTTATATAGCAAAATATTTACTATTTAATATTATAAAATCCTAGCACATTATAAAATCCTGTACAATGTAAATATAGTGTTTATTTGACATGTTACATTAAATATATTACCCTCTAAACTTTAGCCCTTACTATAACATTAACTTAAAATATTAAAATGGTAAACTGTTCATTAAAAACAATTTGTTTTCATCATTTTATAAAACTGTGCATGACTTTATTTACTTTTTCCGCTCCATCTGCAATTTTGGCACAAATTGTTGGACTATATTCCACTTACGAGCACAGACATATATAACAGTTAAAAACAAAAGCCTTCCGCAGGGGATTTACTACGAGAACTAAACAAAATAAACCTTATTTTAAACTTAGTTGTTTCTTATTTTCTCCCTTAAAGCATTGCTCTGACTTCTAAAAAATATATTAACTGACTGCTTAATGAATATTTTAAACCCAGATTATGGCTGGGGTGGGGGGAAAGCAAGGGAAATAATTTAAGACTTTAAAAGCTTTTCAACTTAACTTGGCCCATAAATCATATAACAAAATAGATTCCCATGTTCTGATGGAAATTAAAAAAACCTCCCACAACGACGATAAGCATTTTATCATTTGCTCTTTCTTGTCTCCGCACGTTTGAAGAATAAAATGGAACTCAATTAGGGCTGAGGAGAGAGGAGGGGAGAGAATAACTGGAGGGTGGGGGGTTATTGCATCAGCGAATAGAGCGTAACTGAACTCCTGAGGCTTGGAAGCTCTGCGGCAATAGGTGGATACTTCATGAATAGGTATTTCTTTGAAATGGCTCTACCTGTCCCTGCCCAAGCCTGCATCTCGCAGCCTACACCCTCGCCCTGACCACGCTGCTCTCCCCCGCAGGTCATGATGATGGGCAGCGCCCGCGTGGCCGAGCTGCTGCTGCTCCACGGCGCGGACCCCAACCGCGCGGACCCCGCCACCCTCACCCGACCCGTGCACGACGCGGCCCGGGAGGGCTTCCTGGACACGCTGGTGGCGCTGCACCGAGCCGGGGCGCGGCTGGACGTGCGCGACGCCTGGGGCCGCCTGCCCGTGGACCTGGCTGAGGAGCGGGGCCACCGCGACGTCGCCCGGTACCTGCGCGCGGCCGCGGGAGATTGATGGCGGGGGCACCCAGCCGCCCACAAGGACTTTTCCTTTTTTCCCCAGTTCCCCACCCCAACTTAGTTCAATGAAGGCTGCAGACGTGGAGCGGCGGAAAGCCTGAAAGCCTTCCTGGGCGACTCACTCCCTGCGGGGAAGGAGGGGCAGACCGGGAGTAAGTTGCTGTGTTTTTTTTTCCCCTGGATCCCGCCCTCGACACTCACCGTGAAGCCAAACGCAGAGAGGTGAGGCAAATGGATTTCCAGCGAGATTTAGGAGAGGAATATGAAGTTCCCAAGTGTCGTTTGCTTTCCAGGGTTTTCTGGCAAAAAGTGGCATGTGAAGAAATCCTCGACCGACCCCGGTGCCTGCGGATCTTCACCGGGAAGATGCTGGCGGCGGAGTGGGAGGAGGCGATGATTGGCATTCGGCTGGAGGCAGGTGATAAGTTGATAAGTTCACCCCACTGATCTTGAAGGAGCCCCCTGTAAGCCCCCACTTCCGGCGTTAGGCCCTGGGGGCTACGAGGGCAGAGCTGAAGACAGGACCAGAAGAGGACGGTGGATGTGGGCGTCAGTAGGTGCCCAACGCTTTACACGCAGTGCGGTGCCCGGCAAGCCACGTGCACAACGATACTCACTAGAAGCCCTGAGACTCGTGCCCAGCTCCACGGGCTAGTGACGGGGAAGAGAGGATGCGGAGCCACCACGAATTTGCCCACAGGTTCTAAAATCCCTGGGTCAAGGTGATGCAGAACAGCTCTCAGAAAGGGGCTGGCGCTTGCTGTTGTTCAGTGGAGGCGAGATTCCTGTGGTGGTCCAGATGTCAGCGCACTCATGAGGTGGTGGATTGTAGCAAGAGCAACTGTAGCGGTTAACGGTAACGATTTGCTTCATCTATATACGATAGGATACAGAAACCCCCCTGTGGTTGCCTCTTGAAAAGATTGCGTGATATTTTGTACTTCTGAGTTGTTCTTCAGTAACAGTCTTACTTAATGGGGAGACTTTTTAAATAACAAAGTAACTCGTGGCCCTTGGTAAAGAGGCGAGGAAGACCTACAGCTCTTAAATGATGCTATGGGACAGTGCCAACGCCTAGTTTACTTTCATCCTTAATCTATTTATTTCTTTGTTAAGTTTTCTATTTCCTTTACTAGAGTGTCTCAGGGGGTCCAACTATGAAATATTCCAAATGTGTTTTAGAAGATCGATGCACTTACCCAGTAAATTATCTCGGGATATTTCCCAAAGGGTTGCTGAAAGAGTAGACTGAGTATAAAACTGTTGAAAATATATGATGGCTCTTGGAATACCTTAATATCTCTGACAGACTAAAGGTGCACTGCTTTAGGATTTAATTTCCAGTTTTGCTTGATTCATTACAGCACTAGAACAACTGATACTTCACTGCTTTAATAAAGAAAAAACAACAGAGATCGGACTCCAAGATGTGGGTGATTTGGTTTAAAAACATGTCCATGGATTTACCACTAACTTCTGAGAAATGTTAAAGGCGTTCACTTCTTGCACTCTTTCTAATAATTGTTGATAAGTGATAACAACAGTTTATAAAAACTGCTTACACATAACATAGAAAGATTTACACATGTTGTGTGTGTGTGTGTGAGAGAGAGAGAGAAACGAGGGAACAGAAAAAAAATGAATTTGAGAGATTTATAAGAAGGGGTCCCTTTGAGCTAAATAAACAAATCTTTACTTCTATGTCAATTCTTTATTCCCTAAATGAATATATTACTGGGGAAGCTTAGTTAAGAATCAGAGCATATCTTATTGGAAAAAATATATAAACATTTTGACAAATAACTTGTGCCAAGCTTGCTTTAAAATACATTTGTTCATTTAACACTTAAAACAAACCTGAGAGATAGGTATTGTTTCCCAGATGAGGACAATGAGACAGAGAAATATCAAGTAACTTCTCAAAGGTCACAAGATATTCATTCCATGGTTGTGCAAAGTAAGTCTGTCTGGCGCCAAAGCTTATGATTTTGTTTTGTTTTGTTTTCCCACTGCTCCATCCTGTTCTCCAAAATTACTAATGATAGATATAAAGTCAACTACTTAAAAAAAATGCAGAAAGATCTCCCTTGTAAGTTCCTAGGATAGTTCCTTTTTCTTTCTATGGTATCTACTAAATCTGAACAGATTGTTTTAAATCTATTTTAAAATGTGAACAATATGGAGAATAGCCCCAAAAGAAAGACCTAAAAAACACTTTTGGAACAAAGATAATGGAAACCCCACTCTCAAATTAAGCCATAAGGACAGAAAATACAATTCTAGTTATCACTTAACCACCCAATCATTATTGGCTACAAGAATAGTATTTTTAAAGTTTATATTGTTTTACAATTACTAAGAAGCATTCTGCATAAAAGAAGTCAATTGATCATTTAAAATCTTCCATTTGACTTATGAATCCCTCATTTTTTCTTCTACTTAAGTTCCAAGATATTCAAATTTGCTAGTTGTATGAGGCTGAGTAATGAAAAATAATAATCCCTTGAAATACATATGAAACATGTGATTTCATTCCTAATTTAAAGAAATTGTGGAACTGAATGACAACCTGATATTAAAGGAAATTAAAACAAGAAAATATGGTTGTGGATCTCACAGTACTAGATTACATTGTTTTTTGTTTTATGAATATATATATACTAAAACATTATTGGAAATCAAGTACCACCTGGTTGCACTGAAATAGTAATTTGTTAATGCATGTAAAAGTAAATTCAGTTTTCAAAAGCCACCTGATAGACAGGTTTGGCTGATGTGTTTTATCAGCATCACAAGGAGGTATACACTGTTAAATTTGTTAAAGATTCCAGTTTGAAGGATACACACAAACAAATATAGCTCTATATACATGAACCCTACTTCTGGCTCCATTGTGAAATTATAGAAAAATATATATCTTAATTTCTATATCTAAGTCTAAAATATTACCAAGATTTTTACCAGATCTTACTACCTGAACTTCATTCCAAGATCTGGAAGTGAAATAAATTCAGAATTCATTAATTTTATTCATTTGGCCTCATTTTTATATTTCCTTTTTCAGCTGAGTGCATGGATGAAGAAACAAGGATGATTTACTACGAAAGCAAAATCTCTCTAAAGTTTCTTGTGCTCTAATGGCTAAAATTAGTAATTTCAGATCTAAGGAATGAAACATTCAAAAGGAGAGCTCATGATCCATAAAATTCCAAACAGCTTTGAGAAAGTGTGTACATAGGAATGCTTTTATGATATTTTATTTCTGTATTATGGCAAACACAATATGATGTCCAGGACCAAACAATTCATCTTATGAAGCTAGGTAACTGGCCTTCAGCAAATAAATACAATTTAACTTACACTTACACTGAGATCTATATTGCCCTTCCTTTATGGGAAACGTTAAAAACAAACTACTTGTATGTTAATATGTAATATTCCATAGGGATTTCTTTCACCACCTCTATAATTACCTGTCAATTATTTCAAAAATTATTTCACGCTTATTTTCCTTTTATGCTTTACCAGAGGCTGATTGTTTTTATGATAGGGTATAATTTTTCCAATGTTCAAGACATTTGCCTTCTACCAAAAGAAGAGCAAGTAAAATTAGTGATCTAGAAAAATGACAGAAATCATCTGAAGAAGCACTTTTGTGGACTGCCTTCTGAAGCAAATGCAAAAGCTGGTGTCGTCTGAAGTACAAGAGGTCTGCTTTCACGTTTATGTCAGCAGCTAATCATAACCAAATTCTAACATGGTTAGTAGGTTTTCATTATTAACAAACTAGTTATTTTGTGAAAATTTGAAGAAGAATTTTTAGGTTGATGTAATTTCACACTGTTCAATTACCAAGCTACGAATAAATATATAGAGGTTGACAGATGATAGATAGAACATATATTTAAAAAAGAAAATTTCAAAAATTACTTGAAGGAGCACCAACAGTTGAATCCCAATACTTTCAATATCTTCTCCTGTTCTACTTATAACCCCAGGGAATAAAGAGAGAATGGAGGAAAGAAAAATTAGCACTTGATTGGAAGATACAAGGCCTGGCTTCCAGTATTGGTTCTTCAGCTAATTCAATATATGACTTACTAAGTCATATAACTTTGATGAGCCTCAATTTTCCTCATCTATAACAGGTGGGAGTTGGACTGGATTCTAAGTTCCCTACGATCACCGAAGTTTTATCCTTTTATGAGTTTGTTGCCAACATGACTGTAGTGGAGTCTTACATTTTATTAGTAATAATCTTGCCATGGTATGAGCCAAGGAAAGAGATATAGAGGAATGGAGAGGAGACACACATTTTTAAATTCTGGAGCACTAGAGGGGGAAATATCTTTATAAGCACCACCTCCACTAGGTAGCTGAAAAATGACAGACAAGTTTGTGGGAACTAGGAAAGAAAAGATGCTTTGCAAAATAAATACTTTAATTATAAAATCTTTCCCACTTCATCTTAACTCTAATTTTTCCTGTTGCTTTTTGCATTTCTCTCATGCCACTCAGAGCCACTAGAAGAATTAGTTTCTTAAAGTGAGATAAGCAAGTAGACCCAATAGATTTATAAAATAATGCTGAAGTCGATATTTACAAACTAATGTAAGTGATCTGAAAGAAAAAGTGGTTTTTAAATGAGCATATAATAAGGGATTTTGACCTAAATGGGGTTGGTGTAGGAGTTAAAACCAAGAGAAAAGGTCCGGGATATTAAAAGAAACAGAAAGTGCAAAGGAAAGAGAATGCTTAAAACATGTAGAAGTCACGAGAAGATGAGTAACTCTGTAAACAGTTGGCACAGACTTTACAGACCTGTTTCTAAGGGTCTGTACTTTCTGGTTTGTTTCCATCGGATTCCCTGAAACTTTAAGTCCTTAAATTTTGCCTGGGTGATAGTAGGAACCAGCTGGTTAGGGAAGAGTTCTATGTCACCTGAATATGCACATATCGGCCATTTCAGGAGGGCAGAGAATGAGATGAAAGAAAGCAACAAAAGGAATAGAAAGAGAGCAGCATGGTGGTGTTTTGTGGAAGATGGGTCAATAGTTCAACAGAATTAATCAAATCAAACCAAAACAAACTGTACATGGTCTACATGCTGCTGGAATTTGTGAAATATTTCCAGGCCTCAAATAATAGGAATCTGCTCATTCCCCACTATCTTGA